AGTTATAATATTCTCATTTGAGCTGATAACCACTTAACTTCGGTTGCATGTAAAAACTCTTATACATTCTCTCCCTCCCACATTTTATGCTATTGATGTCGTATTTTATATCTTTTTACATTGTGTATCTGTTAAATTATTGTAGCTAGTTATTTTTAATATTTTTGTCTTTGAAATTTTATACCAGAGTTAAAAGTGATTTACATACCACCATTACAGTATTAGAGTATTCTCAATTTGTATATTCCTTTACCAGTGAATTTTATACTTTTATATGTTTTCATATTGTTACTTAGCTTCCTTTCATGTCTACTTGAAAAACTCCCTTTCGCATGTTTTTTAAGACAAAGCTCATGGTGAAGATCTCCCTCCACTTTTGTTTGTCTTAGAATGTCTTTATCTTTCATGTTTCTTTCATTTCTGAAGGTTAGCTTTGCTGATTACGGTATTCTTAGTTGATGGGACTTTTTAAAATTTCTTTCAGCACTTAGAATATAATATCCCTTTTCCTCCTGACTGCAAGATTCTGTGGAGAAATCTGCTGATAGCCTTATCTGGGTTCCCTTATATATGACAAGTCTCTTATCTCTTGCTGCTTTCAAGATTCTGTATTTGTCTTTGACTTTTGGCAGTTTAATTATAATGTGTCTTGGCTTATATTATGTGGAATCCTTTGAACTTCATTAATCTGTATGTCCATATTCCTCCAAAGATTTGGGAAGTTTTCAGCCAATATTTCTTTAAATAAGCTTTCTTACCCTTTCTCTTTCTCTTCTTCTACCAAGACTCCATAATCTGTATATTCATATGTTTGATGGTGTCCCCATAGGTTCCTTATGCTTTACTCCCTCTTTTTCAATCTTTTTTTATTCTTCTAATTGACTAATTTCAAGTGACCTGTCTTCAAATTCTCTTATTTACTCTTCTTTATTCTCAGCATTTTTTATTCTGCATAACAGAGTCTACAGTTGAAGCTCTGTTGAGTTTTTCAGTTCAGTCATTTGTTCTTCAGCTCCAGGTTTTCCATTTGGTTCTTCTCATGGTTCCTGTTTCTTGATAAAACTGCTTATTTTATTGGCACATTTTCTTATTTCATTTATTTGTTTTCTTGCATCTCATTGAGCTTCTTTAT